ATTGGCACAGTCCCGGCTCACTGCAACCTTCACCTCCTGGGCTCAAGCGATCCTCCTGCCTCAGCCCCCCAAGTAACTGGGAGTACAGGTGGGAGCCACCATACCTGGCTAATTTTTGTATTTTTTGTAGAGATGGGTTTCACCACATTGCCCAGGCTGGTCTCGAACTCCTGAGCTCAAGCGATCCACCTGCTTCGGCCTACCAAAATATTAGGATTACAGGCATGAGGAATTGCACCCAGACAATATTTTTCTTTTATATCTTCTGTTAATTCATTGCATACTAGCGAAACCTACTAATTTTATAATTTGTCAGATGTAGTCAGCCATAGTAAAATGGCCTCTTTAGTTTCTTTTTCCTTTTGGCTTGTCTATCGAATCATCTATCAATGTAATCATAATATCTGTAATTAATGATAATTTTATCTCCCCTTTTCCAACAGTTTTATTGCTTATTTATTTGCTTATTATCTTTTGCATATTTTACTCTAGCTTTTTCCAATGATTTTTTTTTTCACTTTTGCTGTACCCTTCACAGGACTGTGAATCCTTGAAGTAGAAGGAATGTATTCTACTTATATTTGTGACCTGGTAATTAACATAATTCCTGAAATAGAGTAGATACTCAAATGTTGACAGAATGCCTGACTGAATAATTTTTCACTTCCACTTACAAATTGTTTGGGGCAATTCCTGTGAATGTTAGTTCAATGAACAGCAAATAACAAGATAGGGAAGCAGAGACCTCTGTTGAGTGGCACAGATCTAGGGTTGGGGGGAAACCTGGGTACCCAAGGGACTCATGGGGAAAGAGGCCCAGTAGATAGCTTGGCTTCCCATGGGATGCCTAACTGATGTGTCACTCAAGTTAAGAAAGAGGTGCCCATTGGGTCTTTGACATTTAAAATATTTTATTATTTTTTATTTTTTTCAGGGTACAAGTGATAATTTATATAATTTGTAACGTTCACATCAGTATAATTCAGGTACCCATCACCTTAAATGTTTGTCTTTTCTTTATGTTAGAAATATTTGAATTATTCTCTTCTAGCTATTTTGAAATGTACAACAGATTATTGTAAACTAGAGTCACCCTACTGTTCTACAGGACACTAGGTCTTATTTCTTCTATGAAGCTATGTATTTGTACCCATTATTCAGCCTCTCTTCATCCTTCCTTCTCCACTGACCTTTTCGGCCTCCAGTAACCACCAATCTATTCTTTATCTTCTTAGATCCACTTTTTTAGCTTCCACATATGAGTGAGAACATGCAATATTTGTATTTCTGTGCTTGGCATATTTCACTTAATATAATGAAGAGATGTCTGCATTCTCATGTTTATTGCAGCACTGTTCATAATAGCTGAAATATGGAATCAACCTAAGTGCCCGTGAATGGGTGAGTGAAAAAAGAAAATATGGTATATATATAATGGAATATTATTCAGCCATAAAAAAGAATGAAATCCTGTCATTTGCAGTAACATGGATGGAACTGAAAGTTATTATGTTAAGTGAAACAGGCCAAGCACAGGTCTTCCATTTTTTTAAACATAAGACTATATTTAATTCCAATTGGCCCATAAAGCAATAACTTATTTTATTATTGGTACTGGGACATATAGAGATAACCAGCCATTAACTGGTTATGAAACTGGGATTTGGGGAGGTAAGATTATGTCAAAATCAAGTCTGCTTCAATCAATATACCAGGAGAATATTAAACTTATAATTTGATTAATATAGAATTATTTCATAAAAAATAAGTGGAGTATGAAATAATTCATGATGAATTTGCTTACCAGCTGAAATTAATGTGCCACTAGTTGCAGAAATAATAAAAATAGCAATATAAATAGATAACATTTACTAAGAATTTAATGAATGTGTTAGGTGACTAACATGTGATGAATGCTTTGCAGAGATTATCTCAATCTTCATGCAGCATTTAAGACAGGTATGATTGGGTTTGCATTTTACAGATATATATATATATGCATATATGTGTGTGTGTGTATATATGTTTTGAAAGCTTGTTAAATAGCTTGCCTGAGTTTGCACTCGTATGTGGTGGAGCTGAGTTGCTAAGGAAAGCCATTATTTTAACCCTGACTTCTATTTCACATAGAAATCTTTAAAATAAACACCAGTGCCAGAGCCTTACTCTCAAATCATTATTTAATTTATTTGGGGTGTGACTCAGTGATACTGGTATTTTTTTAAAAAGCTGCCTAGTGAGTTCAATGTGCACTTTGAGTTGAGACCAATGAACTATTAAAGCACACTGCTGAGAGCTTAGCTTTGCCTTCCAATTGTACCTTGTCAACACAAAAAAAGACTATGGTTTTTTTGCTTGGAAGAATAATTTTAAGATTGTTTTACTTCTTCCATCCTGTACACATTGTTCTTATTTATATATCTCACATTTACGTCACTGATCTTGCCTACCCATGTATTGGCCATTGTCTCCTGAAATATTTCAGCATATAGGCTGGGTGATATAAGAAATCTGATGTTTACCTCTGCAAGTGAATCTATGCTTAGATTGGACTGTTTTTATTAGGGTTTTGCTGCTCTTGATGTAAATCTTTTTATAAATAGTTGTTCAGTTATCATCATATTTTACTATTTTTTTTAGCTCTACTAAATAGGCAGCAGGACCTAGTTGATTAGGTTTTATTAAATACTTCTTTCTATTTGTTTTATATGATGATTGGTTTAACTATGCTTATAAAAATTGCTGTGTTTGTGGTTTCAGATATTTTCATGCAGTACAAACAACTATATAAGACTGGATTTGGATCCATCTTGCTATATTTTCTAACATACTAATTTATGTTAGAAATTCCTTCCCCTATTTCCAACCCAAGCATCATTATTAAAATAAAATACAAGCAAAACAATAGAAAAATAAGCAATCGGCATAAATATGCAATTCAGAAAATATGAAGTAAAGCAAAGAAATAACAAATATAGAAATGTTTAACTTAATTATATATGAATTGGCAATAAATTTTTTCACAGGTTTCTTGTTTTATAGATATAATATAGTATATATGTTCATTATTTATATTGCCCTAGGTGTTGCTTGTTTTAGAATGTAAGCTCCATAAGGGAGAGAATTTTGTCTATTTTGTTTAGTGATATATTATAAGAACTGAAACTGGTGCCTATCATAAAATTGACACTCAATAATAAATATTATTCAAAGGAAATAACTATTGAAAGAATGGATTGTTTTAAGTGCATGTGTGTATGCACATGTGTGTGTATATGCCATTAACAAAGATATGGTGAATTGCACCCAGTGCTACGTGACTGGCAGAAGTATAATTGGTACAGCTTTTCTAAAAAGCAGTCTGTGAAAAGGGATCATGTTTTTCTCAAATATTTATTCTATTTGAATTATTTACAGTTCTGGTACTATGCTTTAAGGAAATACTTAGTGAAGTGCAGAATTATAGACCAAATACTCTGTTCATAACGTTGATAACCATAAGAGAGACAAAAATCACTGAATAAGTAAAACGTGGCATTCATCATTCCTTCAAAACAGACTAAATGATGTGAAAATGCAGCACTGATAAATGAAAAATGAGAGAAGATAATAGAGCGTGGTTCCAATTTTGTAAAACTTGAGAGAGAAAGATGGGAAAATATTAAGTAATTAAACCACAGTGTTAATAGTAATTATATCTGGGTGGTGAGACTAAGCTAGCTTTTAGGTTTTTGTTGTAGTATGAAATGCACAAAATTTCTCTATTAATATGTACTACTTTGTTAATTAGAAAAATATTATTTCAGGCCGCAGGTGGTGCTGACGCCTGTAATCCCACCACTTTGGGATGCCAAGGCAGGCGGATCACCGGAGGTCGGGAGTTTGAGACCAGCCTGGCCAATATAGTGAAACTCGTCTCTACTAAAAATACACAAAATTAGCTGGGCGTGGTGGCATGCGCCTGTAGTCCCAGCTACTCGGGTGGCTGAGACAGGGGAATTGCCTGAATCTAGAAGGCAGCGGTTGCAGTGAGCCAAGAACCCACCCCTGCAATCCATCCTGGGCGACAAAGTGAGACTCTGTCTCAAAAATGGAAAAAAAAAAAAAAAAGAAAAAGAAAAAAGAAAAAAGAAAGATTTTTCATGCCTAAAACAATGTTTGAGATAAATAATTTTTGAATGCATAAATGGGTGCAAAAATTCATGATATGAGCCTTCTGTCAGAGCAATTTTACAGAATTAGCTAGTAGGGGATTCATAACTTGTTTTTTTGAGTCGAGTTAAGTAATTAATCTCTCCTTCATTATGTGTTGAGTGCTTATTCGTAGCGTGTCTTTTTTCCACTGAGCAAGGACTACTTTCTCATGGACTGAAAATGCTCTTTGATCTGTAGCTATGGTTTGCTTGGTGGAGAGGGAGGTAACCAAGAAATGATATGTGGATTCTAATGTGTGTGATTTGACGGGATTAATAGAAACGGTTTACTTTCAGTAAGTGTTTTTAAATTAGTCCTGTGTCCTTAGACTTAAAAAGAAAATCATAATCAATCAATTAGCAAATGTTGACTTTGTTGCGCAATGAAAGTGTTTTTAGTCTGCCATTTATAGGGGACAAAAGGGGCATAAGAATTATGGACTTTTGACTGCTGGCGTTGTTGTTGGGCCTGGAAAGCTTATTTTAAAAAAGACAACCAATAATATATGACAATGCTATATTGTGCTTCATTGGAATTCATATAGGGAGTATTTTCAAGTAATTTTTAACATGTAGCTTGAGGCTTAGAATTGTAATTGGTTATATAAATTGATATGTGCCTTATTTAAAATTTTATCTTTTTAAATATTTTCCTCAAAACTGAAATTGGAAATGAAGGACTTCATGTAAATTCTGGGCAAATATAATTATAATGTTTATGTTGTAATTTAGTATTAAATCAGAGTATCAACATGTGCAGTGATTTTAATATTTAACACAGAGCTCTTGTTTAATATTTTTCTCTAGGATTCAGAATTTCCCATAGATATGCAACCAAATGCAAACCTGAATGTTTGTAAAGAAAATCTTTCTCCAGCAAAATTTGACTACAAGCTGAAAAATATTTTTAGACTCCATGAACTTCCAGTGAGCTGGTAGGATTTTTGATGTTTTATTAATACTTTTGAGATTTTATTTTCATGTCAAAATTTTGGTGCTCTTACAGCCATTCATGGTTGACATGGTTTGCTTTTAGCCTTTCAAAATTGCTACTCATAGCAGTGAAAGAATTTGCTTATAGCTGCTGTAAGAATCTTAAAAGTAATTGGTTTAAGCACTTGGTGGCAGTACAGACTAAGTGCACTATTATGTATTTTATTGTAGAGGTTGGAGTAAAAATGCACAAATCATTTGTAGAGAAGTTTCTAGGATTACTTTAAAGATAGGATCTCAGCAACTATGCATTTCATTTGTTTTTTTTACTTACCAATTTTACCAATGTTCTTTTTCCCCATTAATAAGTTATTTTTACTTGTTATGAGGACTGTAATTTTGTGAACTATAACTACGTAGGTTTAAAGATGAGACTTAGTATTACTCAACATTTATTGAAATAAATTGTTTTAAAAATCTGCATATTTATATTCATAAACATTTATTTTAAAACTTATAAAATGGATAATATTTTTATTCAAAATTAAAAAAATATTTCTGTAGAAAATATGCATATATAATCCTTATAATTCCATGGTACATTTACATTTAATTAAGTGGCCAGCTTTTGTTGATAATCATGGATACATCATTTTCATTATGGTTTAGTTTATATAAGTAGCATTATTTTCTTGCATTTTGTCATAGAGTCCCAAATTTATGTAACTGATCTTCAAGAAATCTAAGACTTGTACAAAAATATATGACATTTGTTTTGTAATTGCTCCTGTTATTCCTAAGGCGGACTAATGACTCAGAAGAGACATTAACCACTCTTTAACATATATATTTTACCTGTAGTGAGTATTCCCTTTTTATTTGCAAAACTTCCTCTGCTCTTGATGACCATATGGCATGTGCAGTCTACTTCCTAAACCCCATTTGTTGATGATTTCCTGGTAGCAAGAGTGTTGTCTGTGGTATATGTCATGAGAACATAGCACATATGAATACTTCTGTCATGACCAAAAGCAGTAGGTGAATGAATTGAAAAGGTCTGTTAGTAAAGGGAACCATAAAAATGATACATTTATACCTTAGTATTCTATTTCAAGATAAAACAAGTGCCTGTACCCATATGCTAGTCTTTTGCTGTAAGGTCACGACTTTTTCTTAAATGTCTATTGATTGGAATTCTACACAATATTTCTTACCTAAGCTATGCCAGTAATGAGTTTTCTACAATTTCAATTTTTCATTTCTTTTATCTAAAATAAGAACTTCAGACAACTTCAGTTGATCTCCCCACCTTTTTGTAACATTAATTTTCATCGAAAGCAATTTTGTTTATCATTCTCACATTTCATCACCATAACTAATGCTAATACTACAATAGCAAACACAACTGGCTTATAAACAGATTTAGGACCAAACTCCTGTGACTGTTTATAATCATGAACCTTGGCAGATGAGTGTAGTCAGTGCTGGTCTACTTGTGTGTGATTGGAGAGCTCTGAGCAGTTGGAGTTCAATGAGTGCAGCTTGTGTGTTTTATGGAGATAATGGAACATATTGGTCAATGCAACAATTATGTGGAGGTTAAGGGAAAAGCTTCTATTAAATGAAAATGTGAAGAAGAAACAGAGGGAAACATTTAGCTCTTAGTCAAAGGGAAAATATGGATTTCAGCTTCATTTATTTCCAGCCTTTGGAAAGACAGCTGTCCTGATTACTACTACTGCAACTCAAAGAATAATGTTTTCGTTAACAATCTTCACTAGTTAACCTATTAGGAGGGAAGGCTGTAGCATTATTAGTTTGTTTATTGGTAGAATAATAAATCGGTAAAAGAAAACCAAACACTAGTCTCTTAGGGTAACATACCTCAGTGGAAGATTAAGTTGTGACTTTGGGACAACTTATTTACATGGGACACTTTTTGCCTGTCTACTTCATTTCCAATTGGTCTCATTTTCTGCTTCCTTATACTACTATTTCTTTTTTTGCTGTATGTGTTTGTCATTCTCCCAAACACATGGCAAAAGTAGTAGTTTATTCTGCTACTTCTTTCTCTGTACTCTCATTCTGTACTACCAATCCTTAACTAGACATAATATAAAACTCAATTTAAAATTATTAGTGTTTCTCAAATAGTTTCATAATCTGTGTCCTTAATTTTAAAACCAGATACCACCCCCTCTACAGATACACACATACAGAATCTTAGTACTTAGTAAGTCTACAATACAGTGTTTATTGACCCAATTATACGCTTCTTTAAGGAAAAAGACAGGTTTTTTTGCTTGGGGACTATGTATTTTTGAAGTTTATTTTTGTTTGTTATTGACCATCAGTGGAAAGGAAGTTCTTCAGCTATAGTGTATAGGTTTCTTAACTTCAAAAATATAGCGATAAAAGTAATGGCAATGACAATGGAAATAATATAAATAACAATGCTTTACTGAGCCTCTATAAGTACCAGGATTCAGCTGCTATATACACACACTATCTCTGACCTTTATATTTCTATAAGGCAGTTGTTATTTTTCTCTCTCTGTCTCTCCTTTCTCCTTCTCAATCACACACATACACGAGACTCAGACACCTTGCAAATCACAAAGAAAGAATTTGTGTCAGAGCTGGTTAACCCAAAGGCAAACTACAAAATAGTGAATAAGCCACACATTATTTTAAATACATAAAATGAAAAAATAATCTCTGTTTTTATAGTCGGGCATACAATTTTGTCAGTAATACACAACTATATGTCCCATGATTGGAGCAAAATGCATGACATGCATGACCTAGGATAATTGCTATAAACTTAAATATGAAAATAAGTAGCTAGATTGTGTTTAAGTGTAGAATAATTATGTATTTTTTCCTCTGGAAAAACAGATTTATCAAAATGTATTTTTATAATGTTTTTCTAACAAAGTCATAATAAAATAAATGCATATTAAAACCCAGGTAATTTAAAAATCAGTGATGTCTTACTAGTTTGTATTTTCATAGAGTATGGTTTCATAGGTCAAAGAACCAGAAAGATTTTAAATTAAATTAGTTAAGAGAGTTTTTAAGCTCTGATTTAGGTAGATGTCTTTCTTCTACTCTTACAGGTTGCTTCCCATCAGCCTACAACATGTCTTCCAGTGATGGCCACTACTTGTTTGTTTGTTTGTTTTGTTTTTTTAGATGGAGTCTCGCTCTGTTGCCCAGGCTGGAGCGCAGTGGTGTGAGCTCGGCTGACTGCAGACTCTGATTCCCAGGTTCAAGGGATTCTCCTGCCTCAGCCTCCTGAGTAGCTGGGACCACAGGCGCCCGCCACCACATCTGGCTAATTTTTGTATTTTTAGTAGAGATAGCGTTTCACCATTGTGGCCAAGTCGTTTAACATTTTTTCTTTCTTATCCAGAAAAGTCCCCATCAAACCTATGCTGTTTCTTCATATCCTGCTCATTGTCTCTAAGGAGGCTGACAAAAGTGCAGACTTAACTGACAGCCTCCACTTGTCCTTGCCATTCTCTCCTGCCATCAGGTTCTCTTGCTTTCCTCTCCCAAAACTGCTCTTGCCAGTCATTAGCCACACCCCATGTCCACCACCCATCATCACTCACTCGTTCTCATTTTCTTCACCTCTGAGCTGCAGTTAGTACAACTGACCACTCCTGCTTTTCCTCTCCTGACTCCTATTATTTGCGAGCTCCTAGTATTCCTGCTGACCCCCAGGCTCATATCCTTCTCAGCATCTTCAGTGAGCTGCTCCTCTCTGGCCAGATTTCTGGTTGATAGGTTGGCCCTAGACTCAACTTTACAGCTTCCTCTTTTCACTCTCATTTGCAGGTGGCTTCTTCCATTCTCTGGCTTTAAATACTTTACATATGGTGCTGTCTCTACCATGACGTCTCTCCTGAGCTTGAATATCTAATAAGTTTCTCCAAATTTTCGTCTGTCCAAAAAATAACTTTGGTTTCCCCGCAGAAAACCTAATCTTCTCCTTACCTTCCTTATTTTTGCGAAAGTACCAAATCTGTGTGAACTTACTTAAGCTAAAAGCCTAGGAGTTATTTAAAAAATTCCTCATTCTCTCACCCTGCAATTCCCACCATTAAATCTACCAGAAAGTCTGATAAGCCTTTCCTCCAGAATATATTTAATTGTTTCCCACTTCTTTCTATCTGTATTACTATGGTCATTTCTCATACTCTTGCAAAAGGCTCCTAATTTACCCTGTCTTACCCCATAATAATTACTCATGTCACAATAGCCAAACACATTTTTAAAATGTAAATCAGATAATCAGATTTCCTGCTTTAAATACAATGATGTCTTCCCCTTGTTGAAAAAATAAAACCCAAACTACTTACTGTGTGGCCTTTGCAAGATGAGACTCTTGCCTACCTCTTTGGCTGTATACTCCCACTCTTCCTTTCCCTATCTCCTCAGCGACACCAGTCTTCTCACTATTCTGCAAACACGCCACACTTATTCCCACTCCAAGGTCTTTCCACTACCTTCTCCATGGACTCCCCGTATTACTTCTCCGATTTTTACATGTCTAGCTCATTCTAATCTCTCTTAGCTCAAATGTTACCTCTTCAGAGAGGCAGTGCCTGAAAAATCTAGCTAATATTTTACTCCTCACTCCCTTAGTCACGTTCAGTCCTTTCATTCTACTTTATTTCATTCTTGGTTCTCAGTGGGCATGCAGTGTTTTCCTAGTTTATGTGTGGCAGAGATGGGTAGATGCTCACCAGTCCAGTTTCCTCTTCTCTGAGCCCATTGGGAGATTATATCTTCAGTTTGGAATTGAACTTGGGAATTTTGCCATGTGCCTAAAAATAAACCAAAGGCGGTGTACATCACTTCCAGACCTAACCCCTAAGACTTCCAGTGGGATTCACTGTTGACTTTGAAAGTTCTAAGCCATGTGATAGAAGAAGCATGGTTCCCTGAAACATTTGTTGGTTGTAGTGTTCTCCAAACTTTATCAAGCTTTAATTTTCCAGACTAATGGGCTATCTCTTTGTGAAATTAGATGTTAGGCCATATATGATAAATGAATTTTAAAAATAAAAAGATTGAAGAGATTTTCACATTCACTCATTCACACACACACAAATATTATTGAACATGTGTCAGGCACTATTCTGGGCAGTTAACTAACCAGGCACAAATCTGTTCTGAGGGAGATTACATTGATTGAGGGAACAGTTAATAAGCCAATAGTGAACACATACTGTATTTGATGGCCATAAATGCTATAGAAAAACATAAAGCGAGACAGAGGGAAACTGAGTGTAGGATGAATTCAGTTGTAAAGAGAGTGGCCAGGACTTTCTTTGAGAAAGTGATATGTGAGGGAAACCTGAAGCAGGTGATGAAGTGAGGCATGTGGAGCACTAGGAAGAAACTTAAAGAGTCAGAGGGAACAGCAAGTGCAAAGCCTTGAGGTGGGAGCATATCCAAAATATTGCGGGAA